GGCCACGGTTCTGGAATGAGACAATTACTGACCTCTGGCTTGCCGAGTGTTGTAGGTGGTAAGCGAAAATGTTCGGCCACGGTTCTAGAATGAGACAATTACTGACCTCTGGCTCACTGAGCGTTGTAGATAGTAAGTGAAAACAATCGGCCCTAGTTCCAGAATGAGACAATTACTGACATCTGGCTTGCCGAGTGTTGCAGAGAGTAAGTGAAAGGATCGGCCAGAGTTCTGGAATAAGACAATTGCTGACCTCTGGCTCGCCGAATATTGTAGAGAGTAAGTGAAAAGGATCGGCCATGCTTCTGGGACAAGAAAATTACTCACCTCTAACTCTCTGGGTACCGTAGAATGTAACAGTGCCAGTCCTGCCCCTAGAATGGAAATATTGCTGATCTTACTCCTACTGAGTGTTGTAGGAGGTAATTAGACTGGTTCAACTACGGTTCTTGGAAAAGGCAATTACTGACTCCTCACTTGCCAACTATTATAGCTTGTTAGTGACCAGGATTAACCAGTTTTCTCAGACAAGACAATTACTGACCCCTGGCTCGCTACCTTTCGTAGGACGTAACACCGACTACTGTCCCTAGACGGGTGAATTGCTAATACGTAGCCTTTTGCTTCCCCTAGGCTGTAAGCCCACCGGCACACCCTCAGTCGCTTGTTGTCCCTACTTTACTGATTTATCTCTCCTGTCATTACAGATTGTGCGTACCCGATAACTGCCAGCGTCCTCCTCATACCACTTACTCATGACTAACTTCACGCTTACTTTCCTCCACAGACAGTAAGCATTGCAGATCCCCTCACATTACCCTTTAGAACGCTCACCAACTGCTTCTTGCCTGGATTAGTCTGTATGAAAAACCCCATTCCCTGTATCACGAGTTATCACTGATAGGTAGTATCGTGGCTAAGCTCGTTAGCAATCGCCTCCATCTTCCATTTTCTCTCACTGACGCACAGCGCCTTCCGCGGCCACCTGGGGATACATAGAAAGTGAGTGATATGAATCGAAGACTACTAACCTTGCCCTCACAGGACATCTGTTAACCTCAAATGTAGCCTGTCGGTTGTTCCCGCTCTGTTCTCACCCTCCTCGAAGCTTATTACTGATCCCGTGATAGTTTTGCATCCAAGACACACCAGAACAGCACAGCTTGTCTGGAGAGAGCGCCTCCTCCCTCCCCTCCACAGCTATTCTGGCGTCCGGTGAGTGCCTTTTTTTTCCCTGCGGATACTCCGGGGTCTTACTAGCTGTGCAACAGATTAAACGTCTGCGGTGGGTTACCGATTGCCCATCGCCGGACACCTGTCGTACCTTCAATTGGTTTACTGGTCCTTGGCGGCGCTAGGATTTTGCGTACCTTATGTTTCTTTCTGTCTGAATGTTTTGTTTTGTTGAGGGGTACAACATCTGTATTGGAGCGTAGGAATTTGTGAGAATTTGTTGGCTGTTTCGGTGCTTCCGTCTTTCTTCCTATATTATGATACAGTCCAAAAGCTATAATATGTGCTATCTAGACCACCCAAGAAGCCGCTATCCTCTCTCCGCAACCTAACACTCTGCTTCCATTCTTGCTAGCTGGATCAGACCCCCAGCGGCCACTCAGAACCGCGATAGCCCTTGGTAGGAGGGCGGAGAGAAAACAAGGAAGAATGGAAATTTTACATGCAGAACACCTGAATTAGTGAAAGCAATTCGGTGAGCAAAACGCTATGGCGAGCCAACGTGTACTGTACTAGACCCACGGCGGGGCTTTGCTAGTCTGCATTGTACCGCATAGTAGAGAAAAGAAAATGCCGTACCCATCACCCTCCGCCCCATCTCGGGAGCGTGTGCCTGCTATGCCGGCAAGCGTCGTGATCGCAGTTCCTTCATTGGTGTGGGCTAGCCCGCCAGCCAACGAGGCAGTAACCCCGGAAAAGCTGGTGGATAGAAAGCAAGGAAGAAAGGGAACCCCTTGCAAAACGTCTACTTACAAAACACCCAAATCACCAAAACTACCTTGAGCCAAACCCTCCAATGAGCCCAGGCTTCGTTAGGTTGACCTTAGTTCTCCGCCAAGCCGGGCCGGGCCCAGGGAGTCTCAACCCAGGTTGCCCAACCCGACAGGTCTTTCTACAGCGGGGGGCAAAAATACGTTCACATTTTAGTGGTAGGTAGCAACCACTAACAAGTGAACGTATTTTTGCCCCCCGCTGTATAATAGCCCATTTCGCAACCTGAATTGTTCTACAGAGCGTGAAGGTGTGAGTCCGGAAAGAAAGGTTGGGATTCACGCAGAGACAGCTAATCGATATCTGACCTCGCCCAACGACGGGGTAGGCCTGCTTCACGCTTGTCTACCAGTTTTACGGATGCCGGTATAAAATAAATAAAAAGTGAAAAATTGAAAAATTATTAATGCTAGGCTCCCTATAGATCCATTATAGCTGTTTCTAGTGGCCAGAGGAAAATTGAAATTTGTATGATATGGAGAGCCTTGGGGCGAGCATTTGTTTTCACCCAGATCGTACTAAATATTTCAGTCATATGCTTAACAGACATTAGCAATGTACAGTACAGTACTCGAGTATGATACTGTCTATTTTACAGCCTTCGGACAACTATCTTAAGTCCTACGGTGCCAAGAAATCCGATATCCCAGCGATACCATACTCATCCACCCCATTCAGGGGGAGCAACCACCAATACCAAATCCCACGAAGCAGGCCCCAGGGTCAATCCAAAAACTCATGAAAATAGTAGCAGCTGAAACATAAGAGTTAAAGGTGAGAGTTACAGAGATATAATGCATACAGCGTGAGAATGGAATTAAATTTCCCCCGGCTATTCCTAAGCTCTCAATTAAGACTAGTCCTCACTGCTCGCGTCATTATCCTGGACCTGGGATATTGGGTTATCGTTACCCTCCATTCCGATGGCGGGAAGCAGCCCATCAGAAGAGAAAATCACGGCGTGGACGAAGATGAAGGTGAGGAGAGAGGAGTTGGTTATGTCTCTGTTCAGGAGCTCAACAACCCACCCTTAATAGGGCCCGAGGAGAGAGCGGAATTGTCAGGGCAAATATCTCAGGATGAATAACATCTTGAGGTATGATGAAATGGTAAAGTGCAAGAGAGAGAATGAAACCAGATAAATATATACAAAGCAAGAAACGAGAAATGTAAAGCACCCTAGGCCCGCGCACATAATAAGGGGGACAAACCGGTGTTGGAGCGGATTACAGTAGAAGACATGAGGCGTCACAAAAGCCGTCCGGAAAAATGGATGCAGAACACATTACACTGCGCAGCGGTAATCGATATACATCTTTAGGTACAAAAATAAGCTATGCTCGGGAATACCGAATGTTATGTGTTGGCCCAGTCCTGACGTCTAAACTGAAAAGGTGTCTCTGCAAACCTAATAGCACTCACTGACGGTGATTTCCTATCCCCTGCTATAGGCACTGTCGTGCCACTAGTGCTAACCTTGGACGTATTAAATCAACCAATATATGATACAAGACTCCAAATGCACACCTCACAACATCTCCCGCTCCTGCCACCCCCGCCGCGAACACTTAGCGATATTTAGGGGGTTCTCCAAAATAGAAAGGGGGTGCGGCGCAAATGTCAGGCCAGGTAACACATTATATTTTTTTCAATCCTTTTCTATGCGCGGAATTGGAAACTTCCGGTATATAAAGTATGCTTGAGGAAAATTACTAGAGTACAGTACTAACCCACAAGACCGACACACGAATAACCCACCAGTAAGACCCACTTTTCCCCAAACAAGAGAGAAAATTACAGCGAGTGACAAGAGATACAACACAGTGAGTTCTAACGTAAGGAACACGATCGGTATCATGTAGGTTTGCACGATCCCACAGGTGCTGAGAGGCGCTGGGCTTTCCTCCTCCTCCTCCTCCGCTCCCCGGGAAACAACCCTTCATAAACTACCGTCCAAATCGCATCCGCGTGCTTTCCAAGATCAGAGATCCGTGTGAGCCGTAGGCAAACACACCGACGTAAGATACGATACAAGCGCGAAGGACAGCCAGAGCGGCAGCCAATCTGGGCAGTTCACATTATCATAATATTATCATACCGGACGCCCAGCACTACCCGGTCGGTCTGGCAGGGCATCGCGGAACCACGGAAAAGGTGAATTTCTAGCCCACCTTCCTGCACGACATACGCCCACGAGGGGCGGGCCGGGCCGCTAGGAACACGGATTATTTCTCTGGGGGTTTCGGATACTCTGCGACCATGCACAGGAACATTGTGTCTATTTGTTTTTCGTTTCTGAAAGTACCGGTAACTTATGACGCTCTGTGGCGCTCTAGCTTTTGAAAGCCGGTGAAGGTGCGTCCGGGCTATCGTGCAGTCCTGTTCATCTTGCATGCTCAACTACTAGTGCGGGCGATCTCGGCCAGTGACGCTCAGTGAACCAACTACCTCTCTTCTGTATCATAACTACTAGTAGTCCAGAGCCGCGACCAAGCTACCAGAGACCACGCTCGAATAATCAAAGATGACACCTAGAAAGTACCCATAGCCCAACCCTCCTTCTCCCCCCCCCCCTCCCTCCCCGAATATATCCCAGCGCCAACACCCAAACGCAAATACAGATACCAAGAAAAATAAAGAGAAATAAAAGGAAACTTTTAGTAGTATAACATGGTAAGCAAGCAAGCCGTCTAACCCTGACATAAGAAATGAATGAAATGGAATAAGAGTAGAAATAGAGATGAAAAATGTATGATAATATTATAGGAGAAAGAACCATTACACCAGTGCAAGAGACAAACGGGAGAGCAAGAAAAAAGTAAAGGGGGAGGGAAGGCACGTCAGGCCGATGTATGAGTGAATGAGTGGTACCAACACAACGCAACGCGAGTGTAAACCAAAAGAGTACCTACCGGTAGGTGAGGTATAAACCAAGAACCCCCGCCTACACAAATCTACGATACAAGCTCCTAGCAATCAACAAAAAAAAAAGAGGGGAAAAAAATGCCGAAGAAACCAAACGAGTGAGAGGAGATTAAAAGAGAAAAAATAGATAGACCCCTCCTTTACAAACCTACTGTCGGTATGCCGGGGGCGCCCCAACACCCCCCATTCCCATTCCCATGCCCATGCCCATTCCAATTCCCAACCCCACGCCCGCCAATTCCCTCTCCACGTCGCACCACATCTTCCCGCTAGCCCCACCCATGACTCCTCTCTTCCTTCTCTCCTCTTCAATCCTTTTTTGCATTTCGTTGGCTAGTTTCTTCATAAACGCCTGCTCGAGTATGCCCGAAGAGCATGCCGACCCAGTACGTAATTGTGGGCGGCGGTTCTCAGAGGGGGAGGTTGGGGGGTAGGTGATATTCTCAGTAGCGATGGACGAGGTTGGGGAAATCGGTGATTCGAAGATTATCTTTTCTTCTTGGGAGAAAGGGGAGGCGGTGGTGGCTGGTGCGCTCAGGATGAGTTGGGGCTGGGGGGATGTGGGCGTTTGCGGAGTCGGTAGTTCTTCTTCCTTTCGATCTGCGGAGGAGGAGGTGGCCTGCGTGGGTACTGTGGTAGGTTTATCAGGTGCTGGATCCGAGTGTGGGGATTCCTTGGCTGGGCGGAGGTTAACAACCCGGTGTTTCCTCTTCTTCCCGCGGGCTCGAGTGCTGGGTGTGGATGCCCCTCCCCCGAGGGACATCGACGAAGCGAGGCTGTGTCTTGAGGAGGAGATGCTCGCGGGGGAACTTATCGCCTCGCCGGTATCCGAAAATGTGTACGCTTGTGAACCCACCGGGGTGCTGGGTGCGTCAACGTTCCTTTCCCAGCCCGCAGAGCTGCTACCGCCGCCGGAAGCCCACACTCGGAATACAGCGTGAGATATATCCGGAGTGCGCATTGACAGCGTCTTCTGAGCCTCCGAGAGCGCTTTCAATGCGGCCAGGTTCTTTTGCGAGAACACAATCGACGGGGTATCGGGGTTATCGCTAGGCGACAACAATGGATTTGTAAATGCCGCATTAGCGTCATCCCCGCTTCCATCCTCGCTCCTTTCGATCGGAGAAGATGGGTCCGGATCGTGAGCATCAAGACCCAACGACGCAGCATACTCGGGGTTCCATAACCGCAGTGACAACCGGTGCACCGCTACCGGCAACTCCTCCTGGAACAGTCCCCGAACCTGCCTTTCAATCTCCTTCTGCAGGTAGTCCTTGATAAACGGGATAGTGTCGAATGTGGACGAGACCTTGAGCGACTCCAGCGGATCATTTCGAAAGACCAGTGTAACCCCCTTCGCCTTGGAAAAAACCAGAATGATAAAACCGGAGAGCCGGAATTGCGAGAGAGTGATTTGTAGGGGAATGGTCAAGGGCGAAGATGCAGCGAGTGGCATAGGCGAGGTATAGGAGGGGGTAGTGGATAGACAAGTATTTAGCGGATTTGCCTACCGGGCACATGATTCGTTAGCACAAGCAAACAGCCCGGTAAAACGGCGGAAACCATTAAGCGATGAAACAAACCTGAACTTTGGTCCTCAATGTCAAAAAAGCATCCCCATCATAGCTCATACGAAAAATGCCGCGAAACCGGTCCTCCGCCAGATCCCCAATCTCCAGAATCTCCAGCTCGGGCGCCGACTGGCCAAGGTTCAGCTCCTCGACGAATATGTCATCGACAATGATGGGCGGCTTCTGGGATTTGTTCAATGCAGCGGTCAGCAAGGATTTTGCGTGCGAGTAGAAGGCACTGGATGAGGTGTTTGATGTAGTTAAGGGCGTCCAGTTGAAGTTGAAAGCCATGACGATGCGGGGATCATTTATGGGAAGTTGGTCCTGTGCTGAAGGGGGGAGTGATGAAGAGAAGTAAGGGGGGAGTAGAAGAAGGAGGAGGAGCGATGGGGACGGCAGAGGAATGCGGGTAGAGGTCAGCGAGTTGGTGTGTGCGTGTGCGGGTGAAGGGTGATGAGGGAAGGATGGTGGTTCGCTTGGGTGATGAAATCTCGTGATCTCCTATCAACTTATCGTACTCGGAGAGAGAGAGAAAGAAAGCGAGAGTCGAACGTAAAATTTGCACCGATCGGGAAATTCTCCCCACCACGGACGATGAAGTTAATTCTAAACCCAACCAGACTCCCCCGATCCGATCCGATACGCCAGTGGGAGAGAGGAGCACACGAGCCCGGGAACTACGATATATAAAAAAACAATAAAAAGAAAGTGAATACCGGCAAGTAAAGAAAACGATTTTTTTCGCGTCAATTCCACGAGCACCATCGTAAATTTCTTTCCGACACGGTGTTTGGAGGGATGCATGTATTTTGGAATGGGGTCCGAAAGTGGCTCCCTGGGTGCCTGTTTGGGGCGTTTTGGATCCTCTTTTCCTTTTCCCTGAGGCAAATACTCGTACAGTATCGTACCCGTACCGATGTCATGCCGTTAACCGCCCCCCAGGGGGGCGGGGCCTTACGAGTACGAGCGGCCGATAAATATATTCGTCACGTGCCTTATCTAGGGAACACAGCCAAAAGGTGCACCGAAATTTTCTTATCAGACTCACGTGACGAATATATCTATCGGCCGCACTCGTACAATGGTATCGTACAGGGGGGGTATCTTCTCACAACACAGGGATTATTTTGCGGGTCAACTTAAATTAACTGTTCGGTAACTCCCCTACCTATACAATGTACGAGTACTTGTCCGAGTGCTACCGGTATGTCGGCCCTTTGCTTGCCTGTCTGACTCTTGGCGCGGTGGCTGGAGTGAAATTGACTTCCCTACCCAGAGTGGCCGAGTAGGCGACCCAACCAGAGGAAACCTTGACAAACCTCGCAGTGCTCGAGTACCCCTCATATGATACCCGGCACAGCAGACTACCGGTACGCCATACCCGGCGGAGAGATGCCCCGCAATCCTCATCTACTGTATGATAACTTACCCTGCTAGTACAAGTAGCAGCTAGGGTCAAGGGGTTGGAGAAAGAGGTGCAGCCCGGGTATGATAGGTATCGGTATCATGCTGGAGGGGTTGTTTTCGTGCCCGACAAGGATAATTAACCACCGAAATAATACCTTCCAGACACCTTGCCTAGTATGATGCTTGTATCATAAAAGGGAAGGGGAGGTGGTTAACTCGCAGCGTATACGGTAAAGAAGCTTCGAAAGCCCTACTACGAGTATAATACCTGTACTCTAGATTTACGAGCAGTGGAGCGGCATCGAAACACGGGAAACGAAACCCCACAATCCGAAGGATCTAATCAGATTTTCTGTGCTCCCCCCCCCCGTCAACAGCGAAGCACGCATAGGCGGAACGCCCGTCAGAGTGGGCAGGAGGAAGGAAAAACGATAGGAGCACAAATATTCTCAACAAATATCCGGCGGCGGAAAGTACGATAGCTAGCTTCTCACAAGAACTCCATGTCACCTGGATATGGGCGTCATTGGGCTGCAGGCGCAGAACCAGTCATAAAGTACTAGGACAAAAGGGATCGTCCGATGCCCTTTTTACACCAAAAGTGCCTATCTTCACCACCCTCTCTCATCACACAATGTCTATGAGAACCTGTGCAAATTTGTCCATGCATTAGCAAACCTGTAGATAACATGAAAGATATCACAGAATTCTTAAATATTATAAAGTGATGGAGAAAAGGTTGTTTAAGTTTCTGGCATTGGTTGCCATGTACTTTTTTGTATGGAGCCCATAGAAAAATTTAGGTCACTTTCACACTGGTTGATGCAATCATGAACAATGAAGACAGCTTTGATTCCTTACACCCCTACTTGTAGATGTTGGAATAGATGGTCATTCCCTAGCTGATGAAATGATTTGAAGTGCTTTCATATAAGCAGTGTTGAGAATTGTCCATTTAAAAATGTCCATTTTTGGTATGAAAAGGGCATCGGACGATCCCTTGTCCCCGTACTGTATCATACCCCCCTCCACATCCCTCGTGAATCGCAGTATTCAACAGGTAAAGGCACCAATCACGGCGGAAACAAACACCGGCAGCATCTCGGCAGTCGGTGATTTGCTCGTATTATACCATCCCATTGAATCACAAAAATGCCGTTTGCCCGAAACCGTTTCGATGCGGCCGGGTTCCCTTTAGGGTTTCTTTGGGAACCTGTAGATCGTCTTGGAGGATATAACACCATGAAAGATCGTGGGTTTCCCGCTTCTGGGCCAAGCTACTCAAAGTAGCAGTACCGGTAGTGGTTTCCCACCCGACCCGAGATCTTCAGGCTTAGAACTATGTCCGAAATTCGAAAAGTCACAAAGGTGGGAGATGTTGTTGTGCCAGCCGAACCCAATCAACAGCCCAATCCGACCGATCAGTCGGGCGGAAGCAGCAAGTGCTTCGGCTTCCGGTATGCGTCCATTTAAAGTTGACGATATGCATACAGGCCATAGCACGTGCACTGGAACTAAACAGACCTCAGGCCACCAGAAAGAAGATGAACAGCCATTTCATAAAGCGGTTGCCTAGACCTGGTGTCACAGGATTCGTTTTCGGAGTTTGTTTGGCCCCTATCTTTCCGGCATGCAGCGCATGTAGCCGCCAATAACTAACAATGCTAGAAGCCATACAAATTCACGGTGCATGACGGGGCTAGGAGAAATAAGGCTGAGGACCGTTTTGCGGCTTTGGACAATAAAAATGAAGGTTTAGGCAGGGCGTGAGTGGATGTCGCTGAAATCGGTGACTTGAAAAAGGGCTCTGCTGCACCAAAGGGGTCCAGGACACGTTTATTGCTCCCCATAAAAAGTCCCCATGAGAGCTAGCTTACACATTTGTGTTTCATACAGCGCACAACTTACGAGTATTTGTCGGGGCGTCGCTGTCTCCCACAGTCCGGAGACCCCTCGAGCGAGGTCATGTAGGGGCCGGAAGTATAATAATTCCCGTTTACTGGGGGGAGTATTCCAAATTTTGGCGGCGGATCGTTATTCACGCACTCTTTTACAAATTCCCCACCAAAAAAATTTCACAAGGCAATTGACTAAGGGTCAGAGAGCATTTAGACTAGCTGCTCGTTGCTATCTGAAACCTTTGGTGTATGGTATTGCGCAAAACTGTACTCGAGTACTCGTAATACAGTGGTACACCCTCGTCCCAGAGGGATGCTAGCGCGATATGATAAGCAACCCGGGTCGTAACATCCAAGAGAAACAAAAAGGTCACCGCAATCTACCGGTACCTGGTACTCGTACCGTACACGGGCGGCCTTGAAACCCCCCCCCCCTACCCCCAAGTCCCCACCCAACCCCTCGACCATACCCAGGCAGTGCGAGTAAGGTAAACCAGTGTTCCCACGCACTAGACTACACGCTCGACCAAGCCCAACAACAAACCGCCGGAACAGCCCGGAAACGGCCAAACGGCCAACGGTACCGGCATGCATTCTATATTAGGGAGATTCAAAGTTCTCGGTACACCGTGAACTGGTACTCTAGTCTACATGTTGCTGGTGTGACAGATTAAGTAAAGTGTGAGTTTAGAAGGGGATGGACGGATGGGGTGACTGTGCCTCTGTACCGGTATGCTGCATCCATCCTCCCGAGGAGGTTTGCGGTCTACCGAAACACCTGTACCGTCCGTGTGCCAAGAGCTTTGAATCTCCCTACCTGTATTCTGCCCGTAATGATAGTCTAATCGGTTATTTGACAGGATACCCCTCTTCAACCCCAAATTTGACAGAATGCTACCTACTACATGTTCTTCTACCAAATCTATTCCACACAGTTTATCTTACCTCCAACCATAGTGGTCTGACATAGCAAAATGTAATGGGTGATAAAAGTAAGTACATTATAGTAATATACAAAAGCAAGTACCAAACATGGGATTCTGGGTATATTAAAATATCATATTCAACCATCACAACCCATCCTGCTCCCCCACCCCATATCACTCAGACATAAAACAGGCAAGTAGTTGTCAAACAAAATTTCACAATATTATACAAGTTATAGGATCATATTTCTTGATTTCTATTACCAAGTTATATTACAAAGTACTTGTTAGTACAGTTGGGGATTGAGGTTAGAGAATTCTTTAGAAGCTTGCTATAATGAAAAAGTTATAATGAGGCTATTGGAGGAGAAATAACAGTTGTAAATGAAAGTAGAAAAGAAATACTTATTATTAAGAAAATCTGGAGATAAAAAGAAATATCTGGACTCAGGATAGTTATTGTTATCTCATCCAGTTGATATATAGAGAGGTATTATATCAACTTTTTTTTTTTACCAGAGTATTCTGTTAAAGTTAGAGCTCTAGAGAAGTATATCATTAAATAATTGCTTCTGTTTTGATTTAATATATTTCATTCTATGTTAGACCTATAGTATTGGAGGTGGAATATACTGTGTAGAAAATATTAGGTTGAAACACATGTGGTGGATGGCATTCTATCAAATTTTCTTTTACAGTGGCATTCTGTCAAATTTGGTTTCAGAGAGGGGTATTGTGTCAAATAACCGTAGTCTAATACAAGTGTTGATGTCATTTCCCCTCGCTCCGTCCTCCTCGCTCCCTCGCTTACCGGCAGGTCACCGGTTAGTCTACGGGTGCAGCGGTGCGATTGTTATGCGCACTGCTGGCTACCGTACTCGTACCGTGCTGGTATGAGTGTTCTGTTGCAGGGGGCATTGGGATATACCGGTATACCGGTATAACGGTATGGGATTTGATATGGTACCGTACTTTACATGACCGGGTGTAGTGCCGTACTGTACTGTACGGTACTCCATTATCGATGCCCGTGGGCTATAACTTACCGACGTGCAGTGATTTAAGAATAGTACTGTACGTACAATACCAGTACAGCACAGTACATTACGTCGCAAACGTAAACTCTTCATCCCACTTTGACAAACAACCACAGGAAATACCGGTAGTAGGTGGGGTAGTAAACGGTGCCTTTTTGCAATGGTCACTTTGGTGCTGCACAGTCAACTCGCACATCGCGGTACGCAGATGCTGCCACCATTACACCATTATCGTTACGACACCTACGGTAGTTTACACAATCATTCCTCGCTCGCCGCCGCCCATCCGCGGTGCGTACAATTTCCCTCCACGAAAACGACAAAAATCTCATAATGCATTCGTATGCTTTCCTTTTACCAACCCAGCATACCCCCCCCTTCCTTCCCCCACCGAACCCTGTATTCATCCCGTAATTCATATTCCTGACGAATTACTACCTCCGCCAAAAGAACCCTTAAAAACGCAAACCGAAGATATAGGAAAGGTATGATATATTCCTAAAAAAAAAATTGAAAAAAAAGATAAAATACATGGCATAAACTTAGAGAGAGCCCGGTAGTACGGTACAGTCGTGGAGGATGGGCGCGGGAAACAGGAATGTGAAACATAAAAACGCAAAGGTAAATAGGAAAAAAAAAAAAGTAAAAAAAAAGTAAAAAAGAGCTTTGGAGTCTAGACTTCTCCAGACGAATAGAGGATAGGAGGAGCCTACAACTCCTCCCTAACCCTCTCGTGCGCTTTGGGTTCCGGCGGGACAACGGCGCTAGAGGCCGACGACACTACAGAGGAAGCCACCTTGGTGGCCTGACTATACGCGCTCCCAGCAGCCTCGGTGACTTGCGCGACATACCCGTGCAAAACCTCACTAAGCCTCCTCTTGCCGCTCTCAACCGCAACTTCTAGCCTCTGCTGGGCGCTCTCGACGAAACCCTTCTCAGGCCCATGCACCGCTCTCAAAACCCTCGCCTGGGCGCCGCTGGCGGCCGAACTAGCGGCTTCCATCACGGTACTCGTGACCTGCGGGATCGCGCTGGTAGCTTGCTCAACGGTTCCCTTCTCCGTGCCGTACACCGCTTCCGAAACCGCAGACTTGGCACTCTCAATCGCAGCATTGATGCGTGCGTTCGCTGATTCGAGCACGGCCGTTGTCTCGCAGCTATGGATTGCCGACGAGACGCTGGAGCGTGCGGATGAGTCTGCCTCGCCTACGACACTAATCATGCTTTCCGCGCTTCCCCGGGTGGAAGTGGGTCCGTAGACTTGTACACTGGCAGCGGAAATGGCGGATTGGACCTGGGCGCTCGCGTAGGAAATTATGCTTTCCAGGGATGGTGGGGGGGTCATGGAGCTTCCCATAGGGCTAGCAGCAGAGACGTGGGAGCCGGCGGCGGCATGGGATAGTGATGGTGTCGGGGTGGCGTGGAAGAGGGAGGAGAAACGGGACATGACACTTTCGGTGAATGCGGGTTCTTTGCCGTAGACTAATTCCGAGATGAAGGCTCTCATGGACTCGTATTCTTTCTCGGTCTTAGCGGTTGCAGTCGCAACGTGCTCCCCAACTACGGAGGCGACGGATTCGGTAGAGGGCTGTGGCGTTCCGTAAATCTTTTCTGATGCCGCACTGGCGGCGTTTTCAGCTAATTTGGAGATGGCGGGGGCTACGGACTGGTAGGGAGGGATCGGGATACCTGAAGAACGATAGTATGAGTATTGAGGTACGTGAGTCATGGGTGTAGATAGTCGCTCACCGACTGTTGGAGCTGCATCGTACCAACTTTCATATGTCTTTTGGGCCTCGCTCAAGGCTTCTTGATACCTAGTTTTTGCGGCGCCAACCATGCTTTCGATTGTAGGTTGCGGCGTTCCGTGAACCTTCGTGCTTGCCGCATCAATCATAGATTGATATGTGATTTGTGCTTGCCTGACAGCATGGTCATATTGACTCTGGACACTCGCGCTGGAAGCAAGAAGACTTGAATAACTCTCCTCCGCTGCTGCCAGAGCTGCTGCATACTTTTCCTTGGCTTCCACTACAAAAGCTTCGGCTCTGGGGGTCGATGTTCCGTAGATAACACTGCTTGCAGCAGCAACAGCAGCAGAGTACTTGTCAGTCGCGACGCTAAGTGGTTCCCTGCCAGGCTGTGGAGCCCCACACAGTGCGCTCGAGGCAGCACTGACCGCAGATTCGTATTTCTCACTCGCAATGGAGGCATATTCCTCGCCGGGCGATTGTGTAGTCGCTGCTCCGGCGATTGCCGCCGAAACGGCTCTGGAAGCGTCCGCAAGTTTCGAGCTGGCAGCATCAACAACACTCCGCACCTTTTCACCCATGGTATCTTCGTCATCGCTGTCATCGACATCGTATTCTACTCTAGAGCCAGCGACAAAACCAGCATCTACACCGCCCCAAACCTTTGGCTTGATGGATTCTTTGATCTCGCTAGCAACGGAGGAGATGGAAGAAGCTACGGGGGCGTGCTCTTCTTCACCAAGAGCAGTTTCTGGAACCGCTGTGGCTGCCTTCTCACCAGCGTTGGATTCTGTGTCGTATACCTAAATTGCCCGTTAATACGGTTGCTCTAGAGTATTCCGGGTAGTCCGGCCCCTCACCTTCTCCGAAGCCACAGCGGCGGCGCTCTTCGCCTTCTCGCTCGCAACACTAGCCACACTTAGCGTGGTAGGCGGCTCATTGCCAATCACTTCCTCTGATGCTTGGCCCGTTGATTTCTCTGCTGCGGATAAGGCGCCTTCCGCTTCCTTCATGATCGCCTGGGTCGCCTGATATGCTGCGGCTGGAGCAACTGACTCGGAAATATCGTCGCTCGGACCAGACAATCGGATCTTCCTCTTGGAAGCCGTCTTTAACCTCTTGAGTTCATCAGCCGCCTCTTTGGCAATAACTGTAGCCTTTCCTTCCCAATTCCTCTCAGTCCAATGGGTGATTTCAATCAGCTTTCGGTTCTTCTGGGCTGCCGCAATAACACTTCTTCGGAGGTTATCAAAGTCCTTCTTGAGCTCGTGATATTTCAGCCAGTCTTTGTACGTGACATGGTCCATCCAGGCCCATTTCATTCCCAGCTCCTGCATTGCGAGATCGAGAACCGAGTCCAAGACCTCCAAGTGATCATCGGCGGCATTAGCGATGTCGGCGTAAACATTTGATAAGAATTGCTGGCTCTCGACTCTGATTGACTGAGCCTTGTCTCTAATTTTGATGCCCGATTCCTTGGATTTAGCGGCAAAAGTTTCTTCAGATGCTTGTTGGTGCTCTTTTCCCTTTCCGGAATAAGCTGGTCTTGTGAGTTCCTGGACTACCACTTTAAGAGAGGCGAATTCCCGCTCAATCAATTCCTCGAGGGACTCGATCTCCTCCTGGACATGCATTTCCTGTCCATTCTTGGCCCCTGCTGAGATTTCGTCAATTCGCAAGTTGAGATCTGTGGCAGCCTTTTCGGTGGCCGCGCCAAACTTGACTTTCCACTTCTCAAGGTCTGCCTTAATTATCTCCCGAATTTCCTCTTTGGTAGGCCTCTTAGCCTCATTATCCGAGGTCTTACCCTCATTGGCCTCGGCTGCTTGCGAGGAAGCCGAAGCCTTGGCAGATGCGGCTTCCGCAGAAACAGACGAAATGATAGAAGATAACGACGCCGCGGATGCGGTCGCCTTAACTGTATCAGCTGAAGAAAACGAAGAGAATATCGAAGCCGAGATAGAAGAAACAGCAGGAACTCTGCATGAACAAAATGCATTAGTTCATTGAACCGAGTGAATTTTGAACTGTTCTAATTAGAAGAAAGAGAGAGAGAGAGAGAGAAAAATGACTCCTGGCTCTACTCAGAACTTTCTACATGACCGGTGATATCCGCCCGCTGACCGTAAAACTCCATGTCCCACTGTCTACAAATTGCTATGGAAATAGGAAGGCGTAAGGGAATCTAAAGACGAAAATAGAATAGAAATATGGAGAGAATATCAGCTCACCCGCTTCCGGCGCCTCCAAGCCGTTTTCCGATCCTTCCAACCTGGGGCCTAACAACCTCGCTCCACACACCGATACCCCACCCAACAGCCTTCTCTCCATTGGCCCTCACCAAAGGAGCAATAACGGTAACAATGATATGCCTTAATTGCTCCAAGCTCCGCTCAAACGCCGGTACTAAGATTTCTCTAGAAAACCATTCGGCGGTCTTCCCTACCCTGACTAAATAAGGCTGGGCTGAGGCATAGAACTCATTGGCTGTAGCTACGTGAGGAGAAAGGTAGCCGTCGTAATACACCCTCGCCTTTTTGGAAACCTCGTCAACGCGAGGCCTTACCGACCTGTTGTACTCCTTTGAGGCGTACTCCTGACCGCGAGCAACATGAGGAGCCGCAAACTTTTCGTATGAGGAGAAGGCCGATCTGTAGACGGGAGTAATATAATGCTCATTGGTGTACTTCACATGGGGGCCATATTCTGTGACATAAGGAGAAACGTAGGTATCGTAGTACGGCTCGAGATGCGGGCGGAGGGCGTTCGAGATAGCGTGAGAGGTGTGGCATATTGTAGGGGAAACGTTTGTTGGTACTGTTGGACAGCGGAACAATACAGTATATAATGTGTACCATGCCAGGATTCTATGGCACCGGCAAGCTATTAGCGCCACACGTCACTAGCGGGGCTTCTCCATGAGGAAGACTCGGAACTTGGGATGGATGATGGGGACCAACCTGGCAACGACATTGAAAAGGGTAACGGTAGAACCACCATCGGTCGTCCGAGGAGATGAGCGACGAACTCTGGCATTCCTCTTGGTGCCCGCTGCACCCATATTGCCTTTCTTTCTTTCTTTTTTCTTTTCCTTTCTCTTCTCTCGGATTATAGAGTCTTTAGGGAGTCTAATCGCCGCGTCCCGGGGGAGTAAGGGGGGGGGGGGGGTACAGTAACCTTTCACCGAGGCTTCTGGCAAAGGCAAAGATGGGAAAGGGGGGGATGGAGGATGGGGGGTCAAAGAAGAAGATGGGAAAAACGGGGAGAAGAAGAAGAAGAAGCCGAGTGTGAAAGGAAGGGAGAGGGGGAGAGGGAGAAAGAGAGACGGGGTTGGAAGGAGAAGAGGCGGCTACCAGCAGGAGTGGGTTAAGGTCACAGTAGTTGGAAGCGGAAGCGAAGGCTATGATGAAACGCGGTCTGATGCGCAGACAGCATGGACTACGAACCGCCAGAGTCTGTAATAGCCAGTGTATTATAGCTCCCCAGTCCCATCAATAGCAATACCGGTAACAGCAGGAATGCGTAACCGGTGCTGGCAGCTGGTACCCGAGCGCTGTGCCCGCACTCTTCAACCACAACACTGTAGTCTATATCGAACGTGCGGCGGGAGTTTTGTCGATGGAGATCTCCGTTCCGGGTAGTCACCGGATTTGGCTGTGATGCGGTGCGGTGCACAGTAGGAGTAGGATGGATGGGTACTGGTACCGGTACGAGTAGAGGGATGGCAGGGATGGGCGGAGGGAGTTTCTCGTTAAATACGGGTGGGATGGTGACGGAGATGGAGATGATGGGGAGGACGATGACGGCGATGATGGTGATGAAGGTGGTGGGGAAGGGGCCTGATTCACGCACTGCCGTAATTTATCCATCTTACCATGGTGATGTAATATCATGATGGGTGGCCTTTTGCCTCCGCTCTTCAAGGGAAGCAGGAATGATTCGGCGGTTTAGGATGTGTGTGATACAGGTACCGGTAGCCGTTTTGGAAGTGATAATTTACGATGGGTCCGAAAGTGGCGGCGGCGCCTTGGGTCTTTTTGTGGGCATTTCCGGGATCGTTTCTTTGATCCTTTCGAGCAAATACTACCTTCACCAATGGCCTTAAGCACACTATGCCTAATGCATAGCTGCTGTACGAGTACACGATCTAGTGAGGTTAGGCAGCGAGGGCTTCAGCTTTGCATCCTCGCAAACCTCCGGAGACGCAAAGGCATGATCATCATAACATATAAACATTGAGCCATGACAGCACAAAGCCACAAGAGCCACAAGACCTCAATCAGCACCTCTGAGCTGGATCTCCACTCTCCTTGGATTTCTTCCCGATCAAACCCGCAGAGTTTGCACTATCAAAACCGCCCTTAAGAATGAACTACGCACAAGATATTTATCAGTTGCTCTACAGATAGCTTTTTGGAGGAGCATCATCCAGCGGTCGGTCCTTTTAAATCCATCTTTCATCTCCTGAAAGCCCTTGTCAACCTTCTCCGTCAGATGCACAACTTTTAAATCGTGCATATCATAGTGCTGAACCTATCAGCATGATTTCTAGCAAGAGCAGGGCTGTTGTTTCTTTTCTTTTTTTGACCCTCTTAAGCTTTATGATCCGACCAACGACCGAGTCCTCACTAGGGAGTTCGGCATCACCCGTTCCCGAACCGGAGGATTCGGCATCTTCATGTAACTTGCCTAGTCAGTATACATGAGCAACCCCTGTTAGGACAAGTCAAAGCTGACATGGCTGGTGTTGAACCGCCTGGAGTGGGACAGCAAACCACGACGAGCAATGGTACCAATACGGTGACAAGTGTTGAAGCGAATCATTGCTAGGTCTAACGGCTGCTGTCAGTCTCCGATCAGCCGGCAGGCGAGAGCACTCCAAACCACCTAAGGGATCTTTGGTCCGAATTGTTGTCCGTCTTTGGTGGGGTTGTGGTGTTGAGGCTGGTTGCTGCTACATACGCTCTTGTGTGTCCTTACTTATAGAAAGAGCACGACGGCTGCCTGATGCGCTTCGCCACTACGTTACGTAACCTAGTTGTGCGCCGGGTATACGTCAGAAAATACTGGAGCAGTTTTTGCAGGTTTTACATGCTGTTAGGAGAGTGGGGACACTCATGGAGGATGACGACGATAGTCATCATCCAACTTTTGTTTGTTATCGAGGAGTTTCTACATCCGTCTATGGATGACAAATATGGAAATGGAACTGGTTAGGGGAGGGGAAGGAAGACCTGACAGTGCGTTACCAACTTCATAAAAACGTATTTTATACACCATACTAGCCCCCATAATTATGAAAAATAATTATACAAATTTTGTGGGTGTATCAAGACCCGTTCAGAAATATTCTAAATTTTACAAAATATGGCAGCGGTGTGTAAAAGAGACAATCCCGGTAGGGAGGTTTTGCTACCGGTACTTGCGGCTATTCGGTGCTCAAGTAAAAGTACAGCCGTCCTGTCCAGAAACCACACTTGTCATACAACTTTTGCGGGAGCAAGTCTCGCACCAAGCGCACAGTGCGTTCAATGCGGGAAGCAGAACTTGACTCCAGGGGTCTCTTTGTTGCCTCAAACTACCGCTTTGAGGCCCTTTGGAGCATCTTCCACTCGTCAGTTGAGTGATGTACGGTAGTCTAGTGTTGTTATGTATGATACGGGTATGGGTTTTACTTTCCTTTAGTGGTTAGGCCTGCTCAGCCCGCTGGACGCGGGCCTCGGATGAGCAAGCAACCAGCTGGACGCAGGGAGAGAACACGGGGGAAGAAGGCTTCCAAATCCCATTCCACTGTCGTATCATACCGGCATAGTACTATGCACAGTACCATGGTAGTACGAGTACATGTGCTGATTCCCCCTTGCTTGTTTGTTGCCCTTTATCATGCCTCTACCGGTATGATACAAGAGTAACTTACTGTCGTTCCGAATGGGTTTTTTTTCCTCTCGAATTGAGAATGTTACGGTGCTTGCTCCTGTATTATACGGCATCATATCGGTACTCGAGTACAGTAGCGCTCGTTGTGGATACAAGTGCACGGGTAGATTGATCCAATCCATAACTTGCTCGATTCTCAGCAGAGTTGGGGAGTGATGAGAAAGGTCTTGGCATTTATCATACGAAAGTCCCATTCTGGCCGCCACCCGTAGTCTCCATGTGAAACCGCCTCGTTCCAGGAGTTACCGTATGATGCCACAAGGAACTCGTGCCAAGACAGCACTGAACGTCGCTGGAAGCGCATGTCCGAGGGCTGAGGGTTGCGGGTTGCCGGTTTCTTCTTCATGCTCAGAGCCTTCTTCCCGGAATTTGCGTTTTTCCTCTCCTCCTGATCGTGGCCTGCTCTACGGTAGTCTGCCCTGCTCCCTCCACCCGAACACTCAACCTTGCAACCCCCCCCCCCCCTTTGTATCGTACCATGCGTTGCTGAACCTGCTCCACGCTTTGGTGCGTTTATGCGTGAAACCGGCCAATGCCACGCAGCTGACGGACAAACCAGGGTGGCTCCGCCTGTCCTTGAGATCTCTTTATCGTATTCAGGCAATACGGTGGTCTACAGACCCACTGAATCCCTTTCTACCCTCTCCTCCCCCTTTCCAACTCAACCCCCGCCCATACAATAGTCCGCAGGTCCTGTCGCTGCTTTTCTAATCGGCTTTCACGCCATACTCTGTACCGTACCTTGTCCCTCCCTCCTCCCGCGATCCCTTCCCTATCCCAGTTCTCGTAGCGGCCATCACCTTACCGGTACATCGTCACCCTCTCCTCCCCCGGCCCTTGTTCGGGAATCGTGGCCGCTGCTCGCCTAACTTACCCCCGCCCATATTTGCGCTTGCTTTACTCGTCTCCCGATCCGTTGCTGTGGCGACCCGGCCGCGACCGCGAGTCGTTGCCTGCTCGGTTCTCGTCGTCATCGTCGTCACCCTTCTCCCACCCAACCCCGAGCCTTGGAGCTCTGATACGGTGCCGGTGGTCTAGAACCCTCCTCTTGTTTCTAATAAACGCCAAGGGAACCCACTCCGGCTCCGCCGACACGTCATTCCTTCACCGCCTTCCGCCTTCTCTCCCCTCTATTCTCCTCCCAACCTTTTCTTCTGCTCTCACCTCACCACATAATCATGGCTTCGGGGCCGGGTCCGCAGGTGGACATCATGAACGACCCCGCCTATAATGCGTCTTCGGCTTCCGGTTCGAACGACAATGGCGAGCCGGACCACTGTCGTATATGTCGCTCCGAGGGATCGAGGGAGGAGCCTCTGTTTCACCCCTGCAAGTGCAGCGGTTCCATTAAATTCGTTCACCAGGACTGGTATGCCATTTTGCCCCTTACGAAATCGCGGCCCTGCGCGAACCCATTCCCTTTGGTCCTGGTAGATTGCAAACTGACTTTCTCCTTGTGTTCAGCTTGCTGGAATGGTTGCAGCATTCTCAGAAGAAGCATTGCGAGCTCTGCAAGACTCCTTTCCATTTTACGAAGCTTTACGACCCTCATATGCCCGCTACCATTCCAACGCCATTGTTCCTGAAAAAATTGTCCAATCATCTGCTCAGAAATCTTCTTTTGTGGGCAAGAGCACTGTTGGTTGGCTGTGTCTGGCTGGGCGGATTACCATATTGTGTTAGATGGATGTGGAGAATGTGGTTCTGGTTGAGCGATGGCGGATGGTGGACGGATCAAGCGCATAATCGTACAAGGACGGCTTCGCCAACCACAACGGCCCTGGCGGATTTGCCCGGGACGCCTACAACGACATCGAGCGCGGTTATGAGCTCGACGAGTTCGGCTTTTGGTAGTGGCCTCGTGGGTTTTCTAAGATCTACTTTGCTGTCCGGGCCGGCAGCGGGTCCGGTCGATGGAGGCAAGGTAACGGCCAACGCCGCCACTGCCGTTAATGCTACTGTTTCCAATGCAACCACCTCTATTGGGGTTCGGCTCGGAGGACTCTTTATCGATCCGAGTCTGTTCCACAACTTTACTCGGTATCCTGCTGTAAACGGAGTCATCGTGGATATCTTTGAGGGCCAGCTATTGACGGCACTGATTGTCATATCATTCATTCTGATTTTTTTGATTCGTGAATGGGTCGTCCAGCAGCAACCTGCTTTGGCGGGCGCTGTAGCGCTGCCGCAGTTGGATGAGCTTCAGGCGCCTCAGGCTGAGAATGCTCAATTGCCTGAGATTAACCCGCCGCCACAGGATCGCCTTCCGCATGAGCATGAATTAGCTCGCGCGCTTGGCCAATTTAGAGACGAGTTGGTTCTACCAGGCCCGGCCGGCAGGGAGCCCGTACCTCACAGAGTTATTGCCAACCCAAGGAGACGGAGACCCTTCCCTGAGGCTGTGACCGCAGCTAACCCAGAAGCGGATCCCTCGGGACCGAATACGGACATCCGCACCATCCAGAAGTATGGTCAAGGTTATCTTTTTAATGACGGAGGCTCTGAGCCAGCTTCTGTCGGGCTGGGGGCCATGGGCGAGAGCTCTGACCAACCTGCAAGGCGCCCTCAGGTTAACCGTAGAGCGATGTCGCAGCCTGCAGAGATTCGAAGAGCAGTGGAGGAGAGGTCCGAGGTTTCTGATGGCAGTTCCCGAGGCCCTAGCGCATTTACAAAATACGAATTTGACTTTTCATTTGGCCGCCGCGATCAAACCCCGTCTCCCGTGTACACCCCTGAGAGTGGCGACTCCAGCGGAAGTCGAACCCCGGCGAGATTCGGCAGAGCGCCATCACCTGTCGGTTTCAATAGAGCCATTGTTGATACCCAGGCTCCCCTAGGTAGGGAAAGGTCTTTGTACAACTTCTCCGGTAGTGGGTCGCCCAACATGGCTGCCGTCGGCGAGGGTCCAAGCTCGGACGCCGCGGAGGGTCAAATTAACAAAGGAAAACAGCCCGATTTACTTTTCCAGCCTTATGAGAATTCAATTGATAATGAGGATCAGTGGGAAGATGAGGAAGAGGAAGACGACATGACCGATTCTAAAGGAAAAGGGAAAGAGATCGAAGCACCATCTGCCCATGTGCCTGCGGCGGGCTCTTTTGGGCTTGTAATGATAGGCCGCCGCAACTCTGGGTTCGGGACAGAGTCGGACCCTATCAGGGTTAGGGCTCCAACACCTGCAGCCGCTCGATACTCGCCGCCGTCGATATCCTCCCCTTCTGTTGCGACGACTAGCGATCCTGTACTGGATCCTCCCAGCTTCACCACCCATACAGGCGATGAGTCGGCTCGTATTGGGGAGGGTATCTACCGGGATCGTGTTGAGGCGGAAGGCATGCCAAATACAGATGTTCGGAGCGCGGAGCCAATTACGGCTGGGTCACTTGAAGCGCAAGATCTTGAGGTTGGGGCTATCCGGGAGCCTCGGGTGCCTATGCAAGAACCTATCCCACATCAGCCAGCTCAACTGTTTGGCTGGTGGAACAGGGCCCCTGATGAAGGCAATGCACAGGAAGTTGCACAAGCTATAGAAGGGGATGACACTGGGACCGAGGATGGCGCTGATGATGGCACTGATGGTGAGGATAATGGGGCAAACGAGGTTGCTGATGGGCCTGCTATTGAATTGCCTGAGATTCCCGCGGATGCTCCGCAAGCGATAGCCGACGAAGATGCTGCTGATGATTTTGATGGCATCATGGAACTGATTGGGATGCGAGGGCCGTTTGCTGGATTGCTCCAGAACGCAGCCATTAGCATTGTGTTGATAACTACTACTGTAGCGCTTGGTGTTGCCTTCCCGTATGTCATGGGAAAGATCGTTATGATAATTCTGGTATGGGACTTGCTCCGTGATCAAGATCAATATTGACTTTCTAACAATACCTATCAGGCAAACCCTATCTTATTCCTCGTCAAGGTTCCCGCAACCATAGTTTCATTCGTCGCAGGATTTGCCGTCGAATTTTCGACATGTCTTCTCTTTTCGCTCCTCTTGGTTGTGGAGCAGGTCATGCGCTTCCTGTTTAGGCCGATTGAACGTGTTGTCCCTGCGTTCTCGGGGGTTTCTTCTAGCTTGTTCCTATCCGACATCCTCAAACGGTTAGCCCTAGACGGTCAGGGCAGGGTGACACAGAAAATGGCTAATCTCAAGTCGATTTATATGGATTTGAGAGCGTTCCCGTCAACCGGTGCCCCACCGGTGTCTACCCTAACCCGGCAGGGATGGTTGAGAGCCTCACTTGGAGCGACTTGGGCAATGGAGAAATTAGGATTTGGAACCAATTGGACGCACCCACCCTCGTTTCTCCAAGACGAAGGCGCTAACAGTTCAACACCGGTTGCATTCTTCAATTCTAGCTTTACCAAGGTTATTGCCGCTCTGTTCCGAACTCCACAAAATGCAACAAGCACTACTGCCCAGGGTATTTCTCCCGAAAGTCTTTCGCTGCTAGATCCTGTCAACATTTGGAGCGTATGGGATCGGGTCACTGCGGTATTTATTGGGTATGCGTTGTTCACGATCGTTGGAATGCTCTACCTTCAAAATGCGAGGAAGAGGGACCTTGCTGTAAATGGTAGAGTGCTGGAAAAGATTGCTGTTGAGTTGCTGTCACAGGCTGGGGGAGTGATGAAGGTTGTGCTGATTATAGGAATCGAGATGCTTGTATTTCCTCTTTACTGCGGGCTGCTGCTTGGTGAGTCTATATTCTTGTGACTCCTTCTGCAGAGGCTAACACTTTCTTTTTTTCTCGGTTTTTTTTTTCAGATTTCGCGCTCTTGCCTTTGTTCGAGGAAGCCACGATCCTCTCGCGGGTTCAATTTTTTGCCGACTTTCCATTGACAAGCGTGTTCGTGCATTGGTTTGTTGGCACATGTTATATGTTCCATTTCGCTCTCTTCGTATCAATGTGCCGGAAGATTATGAGATCGGGTGTGCTCTGTGAGTTGGAAACACCTATCCTTTGGCGAGGTATCACTAACATTGCGAAAGACTTTATCAGAGATCCCGATGACCCAAATTTTCACCCGGTAAAGGACGTACTCGATAGGCCTGTCGTGATGCAACTGCGAAAGATAGGGTTCAGTGCGCTCATTTATGGCGTTCTGGTGATTGTTTGCTTGGGTGGGGTGGTCTGGTCTTTATATCTGGTCACTGAATCTGTGCTCCCCATCCACTGGTCGTCCAATGAACCCGTACTCGAGTTTCCCGTGGATTTGTTGTTCTACAATTTCTTTATGCCTATCGCTGTCCAGTTTGTCAAGCCGTCTGATGGGCTACAGAAGATGTACGGATGGTGGTTTAGGAGGTGTGCCCGCTTCCTGAGGTTGACCAGCTTCATGTTTGGGGACAGGATGGCAGATGAGGAAGGGCACCATGTTCGGCAAGGCTGGGCTGCTCGGCTGTTGCGCAAAAAAGGAGACGTCAACCACCCGGTAATCGGAGCAGATGCCCCGAATGAAACTGGGGGAGCCGGTGTGGAGGCTTATTTTCGAAGAGACGGGAGATATGTTAGAGCGCCAGCATCGGATTCTGTGCGTAGGCCCAAAGGGGGAAGGGTTTTCGTTCCTGTCACCGAGGATAATGTTCTGCTTGATGAACAAGATGCTCCCGTCGATCACGGAAACATTCCCAATCCTGATTTCAAGCTTGTCTATCTTCCGCCTTGGTTCAAGACACGAATTGGGCTCCTCGTCTTGGGTATTTGGGGGTTTGCTGCTTTTACAGGCATCGGAGTGACCATCGGCCCGCTACTTCTTGGAAGGACCGTACTGAAGCAATTAGTGCCTCCGAATATTAAGCTGAATGACATTTACGCTTTCAGTGTCGGGATCTACATTATTGGAGCTTTCGTCTACGCTGGGGCGAAATGGAAATTGGCGAGGAGTTTGATCAGAAGAGGAATACGTACTGTGCGGGAAAGCGAGAGTCTCTGGCGGGCGATGAGCAAGTGGCTTGTCCGTGTTGCTAAAATCTCATACGTCCTCACAGCATTCGGCATTGTACTCCCTACGTTATTGGCACTGATGATAGAGTTCTATGTCATCATCCCCATTCACACGTACTTCTCTAACGATGACCAACACGTGATCCACTTTATCCAAGACTGGACGCTTGGGGTTCTCTATATTAAGATGATGGGACGGATGCTCTTGGTCAATAGAGATAGCGCCTGGGCACGATCTTTGCAGGGTGTGGTCGCGCGCGGTTATCTAGACCCGGACGTCAAGCTTGCAACCAAGCATTTTATCGCTCCTGCCGGTGGCTTTATGCTCGTAGCGTTACTGCTCCCTCTCGGCCTGGGCTCCATTGCAGCCAACACTTTTCGTGAGCTCCCCTTACATCTTCCCTCTTCCTATTATGACTCCGTACTAACGAGCCAATAGTCAAAAACGCCCCCGCTGAGAAGATTAGCCAAATATACCGCTACAGTTACCCTGCGGTCTTTGCAATGTTCTTTCTCATCGGGTTAGGTTATCTTTGGAAAATCCTGGTGGACTCCTGGAAGCAGAGCATCATAGACGAGGTCTACCTTACTGGGGAACAGCTTCACAATCATGGAGAAGACGCCCCGCCCAGAGCTGGTGAAGCGCCTACCGCCATCACTACGGCCATTGTCACGGCCCCGCGGGAATGATAGACGTATAGAGTGGATGGATAGATCTGGTTATTTGCTTGGTTCTTTAATAACTGTACCGCCTAGTTTTTCTCGGCTTGAAATGGGGTGAAATTAACTATCCATTTCTTGTTCTTTGTTATTCCCTTTTTTCCCCTTCTCTTTCTAAGACGGAAATTGTAGATAGTTCTAGTAGGGGTTCCGGCGTTTCTCTTATTTTGCCTTTTAGCCATTTTACTTAGGTTTCCTTCAGACTGGTCAATTGCGCGTTTAATGAGTGTTTGTAGGCTGGCGGTGTGTAGGGCCGGTTGTGTACTTGAGGGTAATACAAGCGGATTAGGTGGGGGGTTATCATAGTGGATCTGACTTTATTTGTGTTGATGTCTGAACATTTGGTTTTTGTGATTGTGTTGCGCAGTATTCGCGCAGGATAATTTCGGTTTGATACATGAAACCTCACTCGCAGACCCCAGCACGGTATGTGTTGAAACAGTGAGAACGGAATGATGGTTTTGGAACTGGTTGAGTGACGAGAAGAATAATGAATTGCTTAATTGACTTCTCAGTAGAGAGCGAACTACCCAGACTATCTACTGTTGAGAGCGAGACACAAGTTGCGAGTAAATCAACAGTAGGAAGTAAACAGAAACAGAGAGAAGAAAAGAAAGGCAAGGAGGTATGTTCAATAGTACCAATATTGTAAGAGGGTTTTGAGATGGCGATCAAGACTAATGCAAGGAGAAAATCAATAGTGCGAGTGATACTACGGTAGTGCCAGAAGCATATTTCAACACTCCCCCTCTTCTGCCATACCGTGAGAAAGAAAAAAAAAAAAAAAAAAGAAAAAAAAATAAAACAATAAAGGAAAGTCTTTGAACATCATCGAGCACCGGTAAAACCCCCTATCCATAAGTGTCTCAAGGGGGAAAGGTATACTCTCAGCTCTTCCTTAGAACAGTTAATAACAAAAGGAAAAACATTTCGAACAAACAGGCCTGATATCTAACCCCAAAAAGGTACCTCCTAGACTACAGTCTCCATCCCGATCCTTTCCATATGACGCCAGTGGAGGTCTCTTGCGAGAGGCTTTGTAAGTATGTCTGTGGACATATCGTGTGTTGAGATATGGCGAAACAAGACTGTTCTCTGCTCGACGATATCGCGGACGTAGTGGTATTTTATGTCTATGTGTTTCGTTCGCTCGTGATGCCGCATGTTCGAGATTTGCACAAGTCCACCAGTGCTGTCGGTGTAGATGATAGTCGGAGAGGAGAACGATTCTGAGTCAGTGGGGAAGATTATATCCATGAGATCTCCGATTAGACGACGAAGCCAAACAGCTTCTCTTCCAGCTTCTGACGCAGCTATATACTCTGCCTCAGTAGTTGAAAGGGCGACAATTGTTTGCTTCTTAGCCTTCCAGGCTACGACACACTCTGAGAGTAGAAAAATAAATCCACCTGTCGACTTCCGATCACTTAAATCTCCTGCCCAATCCGAGTCTGAGAATCCCTTGAGAGACCTGTCAAGCGGGGTCTCGCTTCTCCTATAGCAGAGCTTTATATCTCTTGTCTGCTTCAAATATCTTAGAACACGCTTGGCCTGCGCAAGGTGTTCCGACCCGGCGGAAGCGGAGAATTTTGAGAGGACCGATATCGTGAATGCTAGATCAGGTCGTGTTCCTAACATTAGGTACATAATACTCCCAACCAAGGATTGATAGAGTTGCTGATCCTCAGGCACAAGTGGTTCGAATTCCAGAGAAGGTCGAACTTCGAGCGGCGTCCAAATGCCGTTACAATCGCTCATGCCGAACCGTCGTAGGACTGATTCTATGAAGTGTCGTTGACCGATACGAATCTTTTCTGGGAGCTGTTCGATATCGATGCCTAGGAATTGACGTGACAATCCAAGATCTGTCATCTTGTATCGGCTTACAAGAAGTTGCTTCACCGTTGCAATGGCCGAAGGATTACTTGACGCTAAAAGGATATTGTCCACGTATAGCAGCAGTATGACTTTGTGCGAGGAAGAGATGTAGAGATTAGCATCACCTGAGGATGGGATAAAACCTTGCGACTGAAGGAAGCCATTGATATCGCTAAACCAAAGGCGGGGAGCTTCTTTAAGCCCATATAGGGCCTTCTTTAACCGGCACACTCCGTCAGGAGATGCCCCGGGGTGCAACCACTCTATGCCTTCGGGCAACGCCATGAAGACCAGATCGTTGACTACAGGATTCAGAAAGGCAGTGATGACATCCATTTGATGGATTTTCCAGCCAAGTTGAGCAGCGAGGGCGATTAGGATTCTGAATGTTGTCAGCCGGGCAACTGGAGCGTAAGTCTCACCAAATTCCGTTTGCTCATATCCTTTAATAACGAGACGGGCTTTATAGCGGATGGAACGGTCAGAGTTATGCTTAACTCTGAACACCCATTTGCATCCAATGATCGTTGCCTCACGAATATCATCATGACTGACAACCTCCCAGGTGTCATTTTCAATAAGAGAGTTGAACTCTTGTTTCATGGCACTCCGCCACGCTGTATGGGAGACAGCATCTGCGTAACTCTCCGGGTCGTCACCCGGACGGAGTTCGCTAACATTCTTGGCTTCAGCAGCAATTGCTTGGACAGGCTGACGGCGTCCAAGAGATCGACGAAGCATTTGATTTGATTCTTGCGCGCGCTTCAGAAGCCTTTCAAGTCCCAGTGACATTGGGCCAGCTTTTTCTGGTTCCTGTACTGTCGGACCAACTTTAATTCTTTTCGGCACCGGTATCGTCGGGCCAGCCTTAGATCTTTCCGGCACCAGTAACGTCGGGCCACTAGAGGAGCTCTCGAGATCGGGTCTTGCTTGGCCGATTCGGAGATTGTCGTACTCCACTCTGACTTTCTTCTCCCCCTCGACAATCATAGCAGCTCGGCTGCCTTCTTTTCTAACGACCCTCCGATCTCCATTCTCCCCAGTCTTAGGGACGAGAATTTTATTTGGTGGTGGGACCGGGTTGACAGGTACGTCACTGCCCTCACCCCTTGTCATCGGGGTCTTGGCAGCTCCCAGCTTAAGTTCTTCTGCCTTAGCGTCAACGGCAGCTACGCTTCCAATCTCGTCATCATTCTCTACCCCATCCACAAGAGGAACAAATTCTTTGAGCACGTCACGACCTGGACTGTAACGTGTTCGCACCGGGGTGCTAATCACGCTTCCGGGTACAATAGGAGTAGCGCACAAGTTGATCTACAACCTATGGGCGTACTGCGCTAAGGGAGGCTCCGAGAGAAAGATATAAGGAATAGGGACTTGAAGAGGTAACCGTTCAACCAAGTATATTAGAAATACTCTGTCTGTCGAAGTCTGCTGTTCCTCTAAGGGATTCAGCGGTCTTTAAATACAAGGTTCGTCCATGTCCTGCATGGACGGATTTCCAAATCCTCCGTGAGCAACCCATAAAACAACTGAGTATCAAAGGATACTCGAAACCACAAGTAAAACAAACTGAGTATCAAAGGATACTTGAAACCACAAGTAAAACAAACTGAGTATCAAAGGATACTCGAAACCACAAGTAAAACAAACTGAGTATCAAAGGATACTTGAAACCACAAGTAAAACAAACTGAGTATCAAAGGATACTCGAAACCACAAGTAAAACAAACTGAGTATCAAAGGATACTTGAAACCACAAGTAAAACAAACTGAGTATCAAAGGATACTCGAAACCACAAGTAAAACAAAACATAAAACAAATCCTTGAACCGAACGGACTGAACTCCAGTTCCGGTTACATTCCCCAAAACAAAACATCTGTTTACCTAAACAAATCAATAATCCCGAAAATCAAAATCCTCATAAAAATCCTCGCCATATTCCTCATCAGCAAGCGCCCAATCCCCATCACCAATACAAAACACACATGTCCGCAATTGCAAAAAACAATTGGAATAAAGGAAATGAAAATCACAGTAGTCGCGGATACCTGCCGCTCTTTCCCATACTTCCACTAGTAGGTCTTCGCAATTCGGGCAGTAATCAACCAAAAGGGTATCAAAGTAGTTTTCAAGTAGGATAGTACCGCGGTCCACCAACAGTCCCACAAGCTGATGGCGTAGCCTCACATTCAGTTCCTCATAGTTTTCCATCCTTAAGGTATTCGGATAGAGAACGTGCCATTAGATAAAGGTGTCTATAACATCTGCCATCGCTTGGTCTTCGTCACTGCTGCTTTCAAACTCGTTTGCGTCATAGGGAGCCCAGAAATCCGGTCTGGTAGGAGGGTCTTCGCGTATTCGTTGTGTGGTGGGTAAGGTAGGTGACCAAGCTATCGTTATATGGTTGATGGTGGGGGGTAGTTGTTCTCCGGGCATGTTGGCTTCCCACCACTCATGCACAAGGGTCATCGCATTCTCGATTCCTTCCACTGGCTCCCAGCTATTCTCCGAGTCTGGATAACCTTTCCATTTGATCAGGAACTGATCGGTTCCATAACACTTTCTATGGTCAAGTATCTCTTCCACTTCCCATTCCTCCTGGTTGTGGATAAGTAGTGGGGCTGGCCGGGAGTGGCTGCGTCCCGGGAACCTGCTATCGTCATTTGGGTGCCATCTCTTAACTGTAGTTGAATGAACCACTGCTTTGCCACGCCAGTACATTCGTCCTTCTAGCTTGATGGTGTAGTTCTCGGTATTGCTGTCGAATTCCAGCACTTTGAAAGGACCTCGCCAGCGGGGTTGGAGTTTCTTGCTTCTGCCAGTTTCAGGACTAAACAGGTTTCCATGTACCATGACCATGGCACCCGGGGGTATGGCATGATGTAATCTCCATTTCTTTTGTGCCTTTGTTGTGTTTCGGAATCGGGCGGTTCTTAGTGCCTGATAGGCATCATTCCGGAGGGCTTCGTGTTGATTGAGGTGGTTGTCAGACGCCGGTACTGTAGAGTCCTTGAATAAGGTGCGGGGTAAGAGGGGGTAGTTTCGTCCATATATGGCTTTGCAAGGGGCCGTGTCAATAGTACTAGAGTACATTGCATTCATGTATGCTGCTGCTTCCGGAAGGGCTGGTTCCCAGTTGTTTTGTCGCTTGTTGATTATGTTCCGGAGGCCTGTCTTGACTTCTCTAATCTTTCGCTCCACTTGGCCGTTCGTTTGGTGGTGGCCTGGTGCGGCTAAGATGTGTTCTATCCCCATCGAGGTCAAGGTTTGCCTCCAGAACTTCGATGTGAACTTAGGGTCTGCATCAGTAACGATTGAGAGGGGGTGGCCATGAGGAGTAAAAACATTTCGCCGTAGCAGATCCCATGTATCTTGGGCTGTTGACGATGCAAGGGTGGGTATGAGCCAGGTAAATCCAGAGAAACGATCCAGCGCA